GGAAAGAGACAGATTTGTACCAACCCTCTGTGGTAACAGTAAATCTTTTGCCAGAAATCCTGGTGTGTGAAACTCTTTGTCATAATCTCCATACTAGAAGAACAACAACAACATTTATTTAAACACCGACGATAAAAATTACAGCGGAGCTGATGTGGTTGTGTATTCAATAATCAACCTAATTATCCTAATTAACCTAATATGGTTGTGGAAAAGGTATATTAACTACCATGTCAACATTATAAACAGTAAGCTACTCACACCCATGACAACATAAGTCACAGTCAGTGTCCATATAATTATGGAAATTCAACAGATTTTTTTTCTTTTATATCTTTACATTTATGTATTTTCAAAATAGATTACAAATAGTGGTTGAGGAAATCTAAATGCCACAATCCCACAGTAAAATCTCTATATGTAGATGCAGGTACAGTAATACCTTAGCCTGTACTGCATATGAAGCAAGGAGAACAGAAGCCTCTGGAGGACAGAAAATATCCATATTTAGAATGGCATCCTTCACTTGTAAGAAAAACAAGTGCTGGGTTATTTCTTGCATCAGTTCTTCTGCCACATCCTCAGGGAAGAACTTAATGTGGAAATTAAGGCTGACTGGTTCATCCTTGACCACTGGAATATCTTGATCTAAAACCTTTTGAGAAGAATAAGAAATTTAAAAGAACTGTAACTGTACAACTGCCAATGAAAAATTCCTTTTCTTCTTGGTTTTAAATCATTTTGAATTTCATGTCTGGTGAAAAAAAACATCTGCCACTAATGTATCATCCAAGTTAGTTCATATCACACATCTTATGTTTTTCAAAGACTTCTTATCAAGTGTTTGTCCATACCGGATTAAAGCCATGAGAGCTGGCTTCAAAGAGCAAGTGACATTATTTGCTTATGACTTGGAATTCATGTAGAACAAGATGTTTTGTGAGGGATGAAATCTTGACAGACTTCTTTTTTTAAAATGAAGTCATAAAAGCTGTCATGCTGCATTCATTCAAAAATCAAATTAGAACTGTGAGAATAATGGAACAACTTTCAATAGAGCTTGAAGTGCTTTAATCAATAGCAAACTGTCTAAGTTGAGCTGAATACCACATTGATGTACAAATGTTTTAATAGATTTTTGACTGACATTTTAACGAGAGACAATTACTTTCAAAATATTCACGTCAGAAGAGGAAATAATTTCCTGCTAAAGGCAAAACCATATGTATGAAAATTAATTAAAATGTACAATTCTACTGTAAATGCTTTTAAACACATACAAGACTTCATTGCATAATTCTAATTCTCTTTAAATGATTCTATTTAGTCAGTTGAGTTCTGCTAAAATAAATGGTTTTCAGAATAGCGGTTGGCACACGTTATGCTACTTTGTTCAATTCAGGGAGCGGCATGAGTGGAAAGTGCTCGTTCGAACAAGATAAACACAGTAAAAAAATAAACATAAGTGTTAGCCACCTGCAGTGTATATGGAATCACTTTGTCTTCGTTTAAGCCGAAGCTCTGTCTCTTAAGATCGTTCTTAAGATATAAACTCCTTTCGTAAAGGGCCTTAAATATGGCTCTTTATATGGTATGATATGGCATGGAAGAGGTCGAGCGACGAACCACTATTTTGAAAGCAGTCACTTCTTTGTCAAATTACATGTAATTGGGTGCAACGACCCTCACGATGATTTTCAGTACTTAATGAACTGCATCGAAAGAAGGGAGTAAGAACGTGTGAATATCATGTTACACGATTATGAAAAAAAATGATAGTCTTAGAGACACAGGGTATGACTCAACCCCTCAGATCTGTACTAATTGAACGTGGGAAGTTTATATAAGTTGATGAGCAGTCGATGGAAGATAAACATTAACTTTTAAGTTACTCGCTATTTCTGTGTGCACGCCAGGGAAAATGCTGATGAACTGCGACTGAGAGTTAGGTGAAATCTATTCAAATTCGATCACGTAAATCGCCTTTAGGCCAACAATTGTTTACTTTAATTCACACTTACCTTCTTGTTGAATTTTAACCACGTAACGATGTCTTTTTTGTCTACAAACTGCAAACCGAAATACCACGTTTCTCGCACGCCTAATGTTCGCACAACAAGATCAAACAGATCCTTTCCCGTGCAGTTTCTCTACAAAGAATATAGTAAAAACTGCATATATTCACCAAGGAACAGTTGTAACAGAGAATGAAGAGAGTTAATAGATCTCATGTAAACTTCAAAATGTTGTCAATATATCAACCTCGACAGAAAACTCCAACTCTGCATCGAGAGTTGTCACGCGAACATCGTACGTCTTCGGCATATTTTCGCACCATTTGGGGCGGCCTCACAAAGAGCAAACTGCACTTCAGTTTTCCTGAAAATCCACTACATCTCATAAAGATTTTTTTCGACACATATTCGTGCTATGTTCAGAATATTTAGCGTGCCTATCGTGCTTATCGCCTACGATAAACATTAATTTACTTCAACCGCTGACCATTACATTTATGTCATGTAGATGACATTAAGTGTCTAGCTCCGGTGAATCAGTGATGAGCGGGCTACAAACGGAAGTGCTACTTAGTGCGTACGTTGGGGTATCCGAGTTTCCGATTTTAATCTATCTGGCACCAAGAAATATGCACCGCACCCTTAGATTTTTTAAGATGCTGAACTATAAGAATACTTGAGATTAATATTATAATATTGTCTTAGTTGTTGTACAACACTTGACGGAAAAGAGCCCTAAAATCTTGGTATGAATCTCCTCTGTTAGCAGACAAACACAATTAATTAAAACTTGCCTAGTTCTTCATATCAGAGTGTCTGTGTTAGGATTATTTCTATGGGAGAAAATAAGACTAGTCTTGTCTCAAACCAGCTGAAAGGACATATTTCTAAAATCAATAAGTTTGTTCTTTTTATTAGTATGAAATAAACTTGACTCCAAGTGACTGTAAGAAATAAACAGAAGAGCAATACTATCACCATGAACCATGGCAAAAAGAAAGGAAATAAAAAGAATGTGATCATGATACTGTCAAAACTCTCATTTCTGTCACATCTAAATCACTGTTACAAATGCAAGTATTAAAAACTAAACCACATTACTCATTTTGTTCTATGAATTTACTCCTAACTTTCTAGACGTTACTAGCATACTTAGTGGTTTAAATTTTTTCTTGGTCTAAGATTTTTCAAACCAGTTTGTTTCTTAATTTTCCTTGTTTCAGAATGTCACATCAAATGAAAGAAAAATGGAAATCAAAATTAAACTGGTTAAAAAAAATTAAACTAAGAAAAAAATTGACTGACAACAATAACATGTACTTCATGCAATGCAAATGCTACATACAGATTCTCCTCATCTCTGCAAGCTTTCCATTAAAACTGTTTCCCCAATTTTTCTGTACATGAAGCCATTAAAAGTCATTTTAAGGCTAGTGTTGGACATTTTAGCAGAATGTGAAATCATTAAACCTACATGTAGGTTTAAACAAATTATGTTGATTTTCAGAGTCTTAAGAAGGCAGTGAATAAACACTACGCAGTGGTTCTTACTTTGACATTACATTGATTTGGTAGAGGTAAGAACTTTCAGTTTCAACTATTGTATGTAGGAATCAACCTTGCAATAACACGACGACACACTGGGCAGTTGTTGACCCGCTGAGCACAGTCTATGCAACAACAGATGTGGCCACAGTCTAAAATAACAACATTACGCTGTCTGTCCATGCAAATAACACAGGCCTCTTGCTGATCTAATACTTCCCCCTCACCCAAAACATTCACTTCCTCTCTCATTCTCCTAATTAAGTCCAGTTCCACTTCCCTATCACGCCGTCTCTTGAAATAAAGAACCAGCGACACCAGGAACAGTATGCCACTTCCAAAAGCAAAGATGGCACTCAAGATTTTCCACACCTTCTTTCCTGACTGCAGCTGTCTCATGATTGCATCTAGTGTGAGTTGTGATAGATAATAAGTTAGACCAGACTTCGGGGGTCCAATCTTGATACCATCATCTGTCAGTGTGATTTCTCCAATCCCAGTGAGAGTTGTACCAACTGGTAACATCTCTTCAATTGTCTGGAATCCTTTGGTCTTATCACCACTGGCCCACTGTACTAAGGACTCTGCCACTGAGCTACTGACTGGTTCAAACTTGTCATGAATAACTTTGAGGGTAAGTTGTTCAGCCGACAATGGTTCCATGACTTTAACATTGTCACCATTACCAAACAGACAGAATGGAACTGAAGATGATGCTGAGCTGATAGTTCTCTCTATGTCATGCCTACAAGTGGATACAAAAAGGATCAATGTGTGTAACATAACTTGAACCCCAAATTAAGCATGCTCCCTGTATTAAGCACACATGGACAAAAATACTCTGCCTTTCTGTAGCCCTAACTTTTATCACAATATCTCGATACTTTGAGAGGAGTAACAATAGACTTTTTATGAAGTTAAAGACTTGTGTTTAGTTTATGTTATGATAATCAAAACTAATTCAACTATAATAGAACTCGATACATCAACAAGGGTTTTTTGAAGTTGTGTTGCACCAAAATATTAAGTATGTCATAATAGTAAAATTTTACAAGTACCGGTTTTATCATAATCATCATCATCATCACCATTAATATTGTTACCTACCACAGCCTTGTCGTTCGACTCCACTCACTCTTATGCTCTCGTGTTTTGACGCGCTGCATGACGCCAGTAACATCTGCAACACGAGAACTTCTGATCACTTCATTCGGTTTCTGAGGCTTTGTCTCTCCTCTGATAACGCCATAAGGTATTGAGCGGGTGTCAGAGGCCAAAAGCGCATTCCTCAGTTGTGAGCCAATTTCAACCTCTACTGCATTCTAAATAAAAACCAAATCATTCAAAAGCATTGCAGGTTATGCCCTTGTGTTTCAACAAGTTTCCCTGACAGTTTGCTGGTACCCATTTGCACTCCTGAGTGGAGAGAGACACTGTCGGAGTAAAGTGTTTTGCCCAAGAACACAACAAAATTACCCACTAGCCAAGATTAAAAAAAGACCTTTGGATATGGGGTCCAGGGTGTCAGCCAAATAGGATATTTATTCTCATGATCTACATTGAAGCACGTCGAAAAATCCCAAACGAAAGCGGTTTTAGTTATTAACAGTAACAGAACACGCACAAACCTGCAAGCTTCGTATGGAACCTTCCCTGTTTTTGTACACTCCATAGAATATAGCTGATACAGCAGCGCTTCCTAAACCAGCGTACAAGTAGAAGTAATCTGACATTGTAAATTTAGATGTCTCTCTCTGGGATGGCTTTCAGAAGTTCACAACTCAGAATAGCACATCCGCCATATTTTCTCAAGGTTAGGTACCAGGGCTGCCCAAGTTTTGAGTTTCCGGCAGAGGGGAGTTTGTAATAAGTATTTAAACTATACCCTCCCCACCAACCCAAGCTCCCGTAGCACAGTCGGTTAGAGCGTCGTACTTATATGCAGTTACTGGCGTTATCCGCCGAGGGTGCTGAAGTAATGCGAAGGTCGGGGGTTCGAGCCCCCCCGGGAGCATGGGGCATTTTTTTTTTTTTTCCCGCATATCTTTTTCTTCTCAAGTACAAGTCGAAGTAGTTCTTAGCTAATACATCCTTGGATTTTTTTTCAAATTCGACGAGTAACTTCAAAGTTAGACATGTTTGAGCGTTTGACATTTCTGAACTAACATCTGATTTTCTGATCTACCATTTGATTTTCCCTTCAGTAGTATTTTGATGAAAATTTCTAACTGCCCGGCATTTATTCTCTTTGAGACCATGGTAAGCGGTACACTCTTCATAATTTTATTATCGAACTCATACCTCGCGTTAATTCAGTCATTTTCTTCACTGTTGCAATGTCTTTTGTGATCCGATGGAATCTTTCTCCCCTCCTCTTTTGCTTTGATATCACCAATGTAATTAATTTCATGTTTTTCTTTCCTAATTACTCGACAAAATCATTTGTCTCTAAGTGGACATTTCAGTTTTACGACTGAAAACATGCTACCATGGTGGCTCTTTCAAATAATTTCACGGTATAAGAGCAGTCATCCTGGGCGCTAGAAGATGTTAAAATTATGTTAATCAAGAGATTACCTGGACACAAGGAATGAAAATCGTTCGCATAATATTTTTTATTACCAGAGTAACCTGAAAATAAAGAAGGGTCACATTTTTCTGGGCTATGATATTAACAAATACAACAAGAAAAGTTTTATAATTCACTGTCGAGGTACGACTTTGCTCGGTGACGGCTCAGCTCAGTCAGTGTTGTAGTTTCGTTCAAGAACTGCAGCTCTTCGCGGAGTGTTCAAGGTGTCGAAAAGCTTGTAAAGTGCGTTCGCATCATTGGATCTTGTTTTCTTTTCAAGTGGAACATCGGCCAATTCTTTCAATTCCTTTACCGCGGCTTTTAAGGGTTCCTAAAACAAGTCACGAAAAAGCAAGTGAAACAATTACTTCTTGACGATCTTTCAAGCCTGCTAATTGTTCGAATACAATATGGTTAGCTTTTGACTAAAAAATCTCAGCGAAAAGGGTCGGTTAGGCCTGGATTTGAAGATTCTCCCCTCAACTAAGAATATACACAGGTTGAAATTTATCAGTTTGTAATATATAGTTTCGCCAGAGCCTTAGAGTCCAGAAATAACTGAGAGAAAAATAACTTTTTAGCAGGTCAAGCTCACGGAGATCAGAATAATCGAATCAAACACATCTAACTCTATAGATAAACTATTTGTAACAGCACATTGTAAACAGATAGTTACCATTATCGAAACATGCGTAATATCGACGAAATGTTCAGTACAGTCAAGAATTCTGTCTGCTTGCCGAGGCCATAGTTCAACATGAACTCCTTTCTTTGCATAACAGGGTCTGGACGCAGCCCCACCCATTGACTTTTTCTAGTTATTTATGATTTCACAGTTTTATAACGCTAATAGTAAACAACCTTGAAACAATCATACCTTGCTGTATGCTGCTGAATCAGAGACGATCGAGCGGCCACTTAAAAAATTATGAGTCAGTTGCCCACATATAAACTGAACCTGAAGTACTACAAGAAAACAACACACTAACCAGCTAAAGGACAATTTTAGACCACAACACATTTCTAGATCTTCACACAACGAACTCGTAAATCTGTTTGAAAGCTTCTAAGATGCGATCCTCTTTAAATCCACACGCATACATTAGATATACAAACGTTAAACTGATACAAACATGTCAACAATATAACACAGTAAGATACGGACGGAAGTTTTCATCGAGAAAAAGAAACATGGTGAGTTTCATTTCCCCACGTTGCCTTTAAATTGAAATAATTTTCTGTTCCTGTTTCCTTCCTCTTTCCTTTCAAATGCTGTTGCGTCTCAATAAGACATCGACAAACGAAATTGATCGAAAGAGAGTGGAACTAAATAAATCAAATGATTTAAGTATGAAATAGCGGTTATGTAACAATTAATCCGCGCGAAAGTGACAAAAGCTGCGAAAATTCTACGTCCGTAAATTTTCTCTACAAAACTAGGCACTGCATTTAAACCTGTGTAAATTCGATCGACAGTCTTAAAAATTACAGGTAGGAAAAAAAAGTGTATATTCATATCTACCATCCAGGCTTCATAATTGTTTGCTACTCACCATTTATAAAATTAATCTTTGAGAATTGACCTTAATATTTCCTTATTTGTCTAATTGTAGAACTGAATCTGGAGCAAGGTCTAGTCGTACTTCCTTAAATATTTCATCAAAAAGTTACAGAAGAGTAATATAATTTTCCAGAGAGTAGATGAGGCCCACTAGTGGACATAGACGTGACATTTACAGTCTGCTGACTTGGGTGTTAATGTGGTAATATGGGACGAAATATTGCGTATTCATTTTATTTCATTTTATTTTATTTTTTCCACTACACATAGTAGTAAGTTAAGAGACAAAATATCACCTGATCATAATCATCCCACACTGATATTTATGTCACATTTAAGGTGGGGGGGGGGTGATCAAGGCTGTTTTAATATCGACGGAAACCAACCCATCCCCTCCCATAAACAGCCAGGCATACAGTTATAAATCTTCAAATAACTGCAGAGTTTCAAAGATTGGTAGAAGACTTAAGACATTTTTAAAGACATTTTTGTTGCATTGAGGGAGGGGGGACGAGCAAGGCTGTTACGTTTCACTATCGAAGGAAACCAACCCCCCCCCCCATCCCTTATAACCAAACAGGCACACAATTTTAAATCATAAAATAATTGTAGAGTTTCAAAGATTGTTGGAAGATTCAATGGAAGTCGTGGGATAGGCTGACCAATTCTTATCTGCTTATCAGTGTTGAACTGAACTGACCCTGTTGTAAAAACCAACTGACCGTGATTTCACTGTAATTTAACATTTTATTTCTCTTTTCAATCAGTCTTTACTGCAATAACTATAATTATTAATAATTATTATCGGTTTCAAGAAAGTACTCTGTGGATTACAATCTTCCTAACTTGTGGAATTTAGTTCTCATCATCAGCATCTCTTGCGAGGTTTCTTCCATTAGAAACACTGTTGTAATAATTGTGCAGAGCTTTTCCTCGGCGGTCGACTGTTCTCGCCTCATATTCTCCAGGGGTCCTCTGATTTTTGTTCATGGAATCTGTGCCTCTCTTTTCGTCATTTCCTACAGTATTCTAAACGATGAAATTAAGGTGTTACTTTTGGCACAACAATTCCATGCGTTGAATGTGCGATCTTTCAGGAATAGGTAATGAAACAGACAACCATAAAAAAATGCCATCTTCCTCTACTCTCTCCGAAAAAAGTAAAAAACAGAAAAAACAAAAAAAACAAAAACAAAAACAAAACAAAACAATCGGGAAATGATATATTAGGGTCAGATTCTAGAGGAATGAGAAAATTCTGGAAAAATATGTCAGGAATGGACTTGAAGTTCTCCAATCCAGAATTCACCTTTTACTCCTTGGAATTTGGGTTGAAGTGAAGCGATTCCTTGCATACTTTATGTTGTTTGGAGTAGCTGGTCTGAAGGATTTGCCACAAAAATTAACATTTCATGGGCACGGAAGGAATTCATTGAACAAGAGAAAATCCAATTAGCGTCAAAGTATGTTAGTACTTAAAAGTTTGTAAACTTACCTTACGGGCGAAAGATCGCAGAATGAAACTTCGTCCCGGCGGTTTGATGGCGCTTAACTGACACAGTGCAAGTTGAAAACTAAGGCAAAAAACAACCATCAAGCAGACTAGAGACTTCTTCATGTTTCCTTCGTCTTACAAATGAAAATTTAGTTTAAAACCTGACCTCTGCTTTCAAGCGGTTCGAATGTTGAAACTATTTCAAGTACTCCTTATATATACTGGGAAATTCTATACGATGGCATATCACCCAACATGGTTATAAGTTTGGTAGTTCAACTGAATACAATAAAATTACGGGCGCGGGGCAAGGTAAGAAAGCTGAGCCCCATGTGAGCAGGATTCGAACCGCTTATCTTCCGATTTCGCTATCGGATGCCCAACCAACTGAGCCAGCAAAAGGTGTCCGTGAGTTCGTAAGAACTGAATAGATTTGTGACCTTCCATTCACATGTCAACAGACTGACCCTTTATTGAAGTTGAGTTTAATAGTTTTTATTAGTCGACCACGTCGAGATTTGTTCCTGCGTTTTCCGTTTCTCAGGGGTTATTGTTTAGAGTGCTATTTTAGACACTTCAAATTAAAATTTTACAAAGCGCTCCATGGGTCCAGAACGCGGAAACTACTTTCTGGAGGCTTTTGTTCTGATTTAATGGGATAAGGTAACAGAAACACGGGGATATAATTAAAATAATCAAAACCGGAGATTCTCTCACAAAAGATATTAAAGAGAAAGGTGTTGAGGCAAAACAATTCTGTGTTGATCTTTCAATCGATGATCGCCGGATGTCTCGATCGCGTTGGAAGCAGATGAAATAGAATTGTAGCGACCATGTGAGAGTTAAGAAAGTATGGCAGCTTAGGGAGCTCAGCTTAACATCCGGCGCGTTAAAAATAGGTCTGTATTTCGGACACTTCAGAATAACACTTAACTTACATATTTTAGCTGGGACAAGTTATGTGTAAAGCTGACTAAATCTGCGATAAAAGAAGAGTTCGCAAAGAAAATAAATGTGGTGGGCTTCTATCGAAAGTCAGAGAAAATACAACGGGTGTTTACTGCTATTAGGCTACATTTTCAACACCTAGACCTGTACCTGGTTGTTATAAGGGCATACACGACATGCTTTCCTGACCAGTATTCCAGAGACGCAACTGAGGAGGGAAACAGAAATCAAAGCTCCCTTATATGGCAAATCAATAAGATAATTTTAACAAACTACCCACAACAAAACCTTTAAAAAATAGATGAAGTTGGTAACAGAACAATTTTCAAGACTTTCAAATAAGATGTTGTACCAAGTGCTTTCGCGTGAAAATTGTGCAAGGCATTTGGCGCATTTTACCGAAGCACAAGGGCAGCCGGACTAGCTCGAGAGTTAAATAACCTTCAGTCGCACAATGATTAGAGTTCTAAGGCCGAGAACACTGGACATGAGCTTTGGGTTCAACGAAGACTTTGAGCTACTCAACACAAAAATGACCAAAATTTTCTTTTTGATCATCGCACATGTTGCCGTATGCTCACGTGACATTCGCGTGGTCGAGTAATCGTCGTCGTTGTTGTGAGCAGCCTGAAGTCTCCTCAGTCTGTTTTCAAACCTCTCCTACCCCTTCACAGGAAACTAATCGCACATGATGTAGGTTACGCCATTTCCACAGATTGTAGCTATTATGGGGCCGAGAAGGTATAGTGTTGATGTCGATTGGTATAATTTCATTCAATTCACGAACGATTATGTAGTTGCCACAACATTTCATAATTTGATTAATAATTGATACATTATTTACAGGGTCAGCGGGTGAGCTGGCTTGTTTTGAATTTTCTCTCTGTTGACGAAACAGTTTCAATACGGTCTGCTCTAGAACCTATGGCTGATTGGTTTAGTTGCGCGAAAACAAAGGAACCGAAGGCTTACAACTTGTAAGCGTGTCCAGCACTGTGCTCATTCGATAGACTGCAAAGCGTCCGACACAAAGTTACGGCAGTGGATGAGATGTGAGTGCTTTAATCACTGTTTAAAATAAGAACTCCTCTCGAAATTGCCAAACACCTCCTTCTCTTCTTCCCCAATTGAAAACACTCCCTCACACACTCAAGCTACGTGCCACGGTTAGAACAGAACGACCTAACTTAAATAACTGTAGTTGTTACATCCTTGCTAAGCACAGTTTCACGGTGTTAGAGCTCCACAGATACAATCTCCTTCAAGATGTGATTTCTCCTCGACTACCAATCATACCACTCGGTGAAAAAGAGCTCCTTAGTCTTCGAAAAACACTGGCTTTACTCGCGAACAGTAGAAAAAACCTTTCTTTTCTTTATCGCTTAATGTTGTTGCCAGAAAACGATAAGTTTAGCTCCGGCAACATGAAATCAATAGTAAGAACTATGATAAAAATTATAACTATTTTCTAGCCCCACAAAATGTTATTGATTGTGTTTACTGAATGATAACTTTGTATTACTTGTAGCATTAATTAGATCATTTTTCGGTTTTGAGTCAACTGGTTTTGACCCATATATCACTCTCTATCAGTTACGTGCTATTAAAAGCTTAAAAATGTCAAGAGAACTTGTTTTTAGTTCGTTTGTCATATGTTACTAGGTAATTAATTTCTGTTTTTGATATATGGTGTGTAACATTCGTAACAAATGATTAAAACTAAAAATCAGCTCATTTTTCATTAAAATTTGTCAAAGTTAAATGCTCTAAGAAGAAAATTAATCTGTGTAATCCAGCATCTCCGATCCAGTTATTTAATTTGAAGTGACAACGCCAAATTGCTTTGGCCTAAGGGAAGTGTTTACGACAAAACGCAATCTATTTCGCTTGGCACGATTTTCTCAGCGACTGAAAGCTTTCAAAATATTTCACTCGTCTATCCGTAATGTGTCCGGGAAAGTCATTCGATTTTCTTTGTTATTGAGTTTTTGTGAATCAATTGAAGGCTGTAGTTGCATCACTTTTAATTTGATTCAAACAGTATTTTATTTACTCCCTGTAAAAAAGGTGATATCAAGACTCTTAATTTAAGGGGGAGCAATTATGACAAAAGACAGTTGCTTACGTAAGTTTGATAGCTTTTTAAAACAGCACGCGAAAAAACCGTTGAGCATTTGAAAAAAAAATTATTAATACCTGTTTGCTAAAATAGAATTAACAAACTAAAATGGAACCAGGGAAAGAGATCATTTTTCCAATCAAATTAACGATTCGACTGACTTTAATTTGTTCTTTAATAATTCGACAACCCGTCCATTCTTAATTTTTTAAAAATGGGGGCGAAAGACAGTTAGAGAGAATTGTTTACACTGTTAGTGAAACCTAGAAAAAGTGGAACTGCTACAAGATAGCCTTAGACCCGTTGCTAAAAGCTCAATTTTCGTCTGACTTCATCATCCACTTATATGTCCTAAAATTCATTTTATTGTAGCGTTCATTTCGTGGTAGGTTTTGGCTCATAAGAACTGTAAACAATTTCTCTAGACAGGTGTGAGAACAAAAGCACAGCAGTCGTTAGCAAATACAACTACGAACAGTATTAATTACAAATTTCGCACAAGCAAACTAAATTTCAATGCGATGGATATCTGTTAAATTTGCACAACTCAAACTTGTCCGGGACGACTCCTTGGCGACTGGTCCTTTATTTGACAGATTTACAGGGTAAGAAATCATCAAGTTCTATAAAAAAATGTTTTTGTTTGTTATAAAATCACTATTTTGAATCATAATTATTAAGTCGTGAGGCAAAAGACAACGACAACTTCGTTTTTCCGACATCGAAACACCAAAAGGAAGGTTCGTTTTCGTAATTCAGTAACCAAAACCATTCCCAGCCATTGCCGCCTTGATTCATGATGCGTTACATTATCCAATTTCTAGACGTGAGTCAACTGAAAAATGTACCAAGCTGTAGTATACTCACCGAAAACCCTTCAGTTCGTCAGAAATTCGTAGAACACCGCCATGCTCAGTAGCGCTACACTGCTTTTTCTCTTTCGCAGTGAAATGCTTGGGTGAACATGATGTTTGTCAGTTTTCTATGTTTCTTACTGATTATATATTTTTATGCGTAAGGTTTCTTCGCATACAGAGGTAGTTTTGTGAAGTTCGTGATCAATTCTACAGTTAAATTAAATTATTTATGCTCATGGTAATTTCGCAGGTTTTATCCGGCACAGTTTGGTGTGTTCACCACTTAAGTAACAGCAACCGATAAATGGATATTCTGGAGAGATACTTTTCTCGACAGTTCTGATTTTCTACCTGTGATATACCGACAACCGTTAAGGTAAAATATAGTTATGCAATTTTAGACCATTTTCTTTGAAATTACACCTTAAATACCAAAAAGCATTCCATTCTCGCAGGGTATGAGACAAGCACGAATTACAGTTTACATTTCTCTACTGGTGCATTTTTATTATGCCATGAAGTCGTTTAATCCATCCTTTGTTGAGAATTTTAATAATGTTCCCGCCCTACAGAGTGGCTATTGTTTTTAGAGTTAATCTATTAGACTCAAGCCTGAAGGTAGCACACAGGGACTTGAAAAACTTCAAGTTCAAAAGTTTACAACATGCGGAATAGCCATGGTAGCGAAATACAGGGAATATTTATCAGATGATAGAAAAAAGAAAGGTTTTGAAAATTGAAGCCATGGCAACAGGCACGTTATGTTATTTGTAAACACCACATCTTTGAAAATAGAAAATTAATTCACTGACAAATTGATAAAAAATTAACGGATTTGATGCTCTAACTGAACTGTCTCAGCAAGACAGATTTATCAATATTTCCCAACCGCTGGGTTCTCATACATAGTCATATCTTTTATGAACAAATGTTTGAGAATTCAAATCAGAGAAATGGGAGAATTTGTTTGTTTTGAAGAAAATATTTTCCAGAAATATTTGGCCATAAAGGTGTAAAAACAATCATGATCAAAGGGTTGGTTGATTGCAGAGAAAATCATATGAAAATTTAATGCAAAAACATTTTCAAGAGTGGGTTGCGATTCCGCGGGCTTTGCAAGTGGTTGCCAAATATGGCATATCTCTTATTAATTCAAATACGATGGCATCAGGAGTCGATTTATTGAACAAATAGTCGTTTTTCATTTGTGAAATAAGACAAATTCCATAGTTTGCCAAGACTTGGCTTCAGCCGGGGAGATTTTCTCTGTAAAATGGCTATAGTGTAAAACATTTACTGAAATCCAAAGAAAAATGATGCTAAATGGAAGTGAGAAAAGGGATCACCATCACTGACGGTCCATTCAATTCTCGCCAGGAAAAAACAAATTATATGTCTAATGACCCCTTAATAGCCCCACATTTTATTTACTTTCTGAATGCTAATATGGGAGTGTTATCGGTAAAAAACACGAACATGAAAACTTCAAGCTATGAAACTGTTATCTTCCGGTGGATGAAATTTAATCGTCATCTGCCATACAATGGTTGGACATTTTGTACCTGTGACGGCTTTTTCAAAAAACACGGCTAACTGGACAACAAGCTATCAGCAAGACTCCCTGACTTAACTGTTATGTTGCTTGGGAATTAAATATGAGTTATGCCATTAATTTAGATGATCATCAAAAAGGCTTTAGACACTGCGAGATCTCCACTATTGGCGAAGATCTATTATATTATTGTTGATGTCTTCCCCTCACGAATTAAACCGACTTCATTAGAATAAACAATTGCGTGTTTGGAAAAGGCCAGTAATTACCTCAAAGCTCCGATCTCTGACGACAAAAATGGGGAGAGCAGCATAAAAGACGCTAGTGTTTTGGTAAAAGAATCACTTACTTTAGTATAATACTAGTTGCTTCGCTCTCTCTGTTGTGCGTGGTGCCTCATTAAATGAAGCAGAAATTACTTTTCAATAACAGCTAACGAGTTATTATACCAAGGTATTACAATTTGCACTTTAGTGGTTGATAGTGTTGTAATTGCGAGGTGATAAATACATGTAAAACTAAGCTTTTACAATAAGAGCCGCGACGAAGAAGTCAGAGTGTCAAAACTACTAGTAGACTAACAGAGGTACTTTAGGAGGAATAACGTAAGAAGCTTCTGTAAGAAAAAATCTTCTAATTCTACGATGATCTTTTTTTTACCATGATCAATCGCAAATATTTGCAAGTCTTCCACTGGCGCATATTTATTTCAGACGATTGACTTTGTTTTTAATATACTTTTCAGGACAGACAGAATTTCTGAAGCGACAAGTTCCAAAAGAGATATTCTCGAATATCAAAACCACCAAGACAAAAAATCCAGTGAAACTATGGAAATGGAGGAATTAAAGGCAATTCGAGAGAAAAGAGAGAACTGCATGAAAGAAGTAAAAGACGCGTGGAAATCAGAAACAGGTGAAGCTACGCGTGTTATCAAAGACTTCAGTGGGTACACCACCCTACACGGGTTTCATTTTGTCCTTGACTCTGCCTCCCGAATACGAAGGATTATTTGGATCACATTGATTTCCCTCGGCATATGCGCACTCTTCTTCCAGTTTCGAGACAACTGGCGTAAATTACAGAGCTATGAAAGCGTCATTGGCAAAGATATTGATCATGCCGAGAAGCTGTTGTTCCCTGCAATTACTATTTGCAACCAGAATATGATGCGCAAAAGTAAAATTTGGGGAACAGACGCGCAAACATTTCTAGACCAACAAGATCAAGTGAAGTTGCATATCTTTGGAAATAAACTATTGGAACAAGAGACGAGCCCTGACTTCGATCCTGGGGAGAGTGTGATGAAAAACGGTCACAACCTGTCTGAGATGATGAAAGACTGTAAATGGAAAAATCAGCCATGCGCTCCTGCTAACTTCTCCTCGTTTATTTCTTTCATGGTGAGGTTTACAAACTTTGTTATGACATACTTTACATACTTTGTTGCCACCTCCCCGTTGGGGAGCCATCTACTCTCTAAGTGAGCAGCAGTGAAGTGTCACTAACATTCGGCAATAGTACATCAACGGTTGGTAAATTTTTCGTATGTACTTAAAATAAAATGCCGACGATGACGATGATGATATACACCACTTGCAGGATAGATTAAAAATGAGGTCCATACTTATCTGTGATCTAAAACTTTGACAGTTGTTTCTCTGTTTTTCGATCCGCAAAACAACAAAGGCGAAGAGGGTAAAAAAAAAAGCAGCTTTCACAGATTCAAAACGAATTTGTTCTGGATCGGTCAGTTTTTCTTAAGACTGAGAAAATGCAAGGATTTTAAACCTCCAACTGGTATAAATCTAATGAGATATAGATCGAAGCAGATGTTACTTAGTTTGCTCTTGTTGCCAATCGAGAAAAATGGAGTGTATCGTTGAAGAAGGGAGAGGAAATATAAGAAAACAAGATAGACTTTTTCACTTTGTATAAAAATAATTTTTCTGCCTGCAGCGTGGGGTGTGCTACACGTTTAACTCTGATCGGCGTGGTCACCAAAAGCTTTATGTGACAACATCAGGAAAAATCCAAGCCTTGTCACTTTACTTGGATGCGCAACCCGAAGAGTATTACGGACCATACAGCTACGATGCGACAGGTTTTAAGATTATGATTCACGATCAGAAGGACTTGTATCCAAACATTGAAGACCTTGCTTTGGACATTACTCCAGGGTTTACCACAAACATACGCGTGCGCAGAAGCAAGGTTTGTACAACCAAGTTCTTTGTGGAGAGTACTAGGCCCTCTTTATCTTTCAGACATGTCACTAGGCTAGACCATATGTTGCCCGAGTCCTGTTTCTTTCATATCGCAAGGATTAGCGATGCCCAACATGAGCAATGTACTTTAATGTATAACGATTTCATTAATTTATTTGTCATTTAAGATGGTGAGTCTCCCTGCGCCATTTAAATCCGCCTGCAGCGAGAAGAGCTTGGCAGCTTTCAAAGTGTACTCACAGTACGCATGTCTATTAGAGTGTTACACTAACATAACCCTCGAAGTGTGTGGCTGTCGGCTGCTGTCTATGCCTTCATTTGGTAAGCAATATGCTGTTTAAGATGATACAAATACACACAGATCAAGGAGTCAATCAGATAAGAAGATAAAGTTTAAGTTAAAAATGTTAATATTCCAACAGATGAGAACAAAACGAGATATTGCTCCGCGAAGGAAATCTTTACCTGCGTGTTCCCAAAATATGGTAGGTGTAAGCTTTTGACACAACGAAACACATTTTCCCATTCGTACAAATGCATGTGTCAATCACTCTTTCACTAACTCAGAGGTAAACAATCAACATCTTTACAAAACGTATCATTATCTTTATCGCATTATTAGAGCATTATCGCCACTCTTTCCAAAGTAGTGCCACAACTCTGGTGTGAAAGTTGAAAAAAAAAATTAAAATTTAGCCAGGTTAAGATGACCTCCCATGTGGCTATCCCAATAGACCGTGTAGGGATGCTAAAATTTCTCTTACTTCTCTGTTTAGGTAAATTTAATCCAAGCAGTTGTGCCTGCCCGGCACCATGTACGGAGATACGCTATCATGTTCAGGCCTCCATGGCGTACGCTCCGTCAAATCACTTATGGGACACAATATTTCCAATGTACAACATGTCAAGTAATGACACAGAGAAAGTTGTTGAGTTCCAGAACTACATCAGGTAAAAAACGCTAAGTCACACCCCCACTTTTAGAAGTCCCAAAATCAAGAATGTTGAATATCACAAAACATAATTAGATACCTGTACTCCTACGATACCTGAGGGGTCCTTTTTGTCTTAGTGTTTGGGATACAGCACGAGCTTCTTCACTAAAGAGACTTTTTTCCACGACTTTATAAAGACTTCTTACGAATGAAATTGTTATCAATAGAATAAGAAAGATGGTAAAGTTTGATATCTTCCCACGAGCGTAAGAATCGAATCCCTAACTTTCGAATTCTGCGCTCCGATGCTCTATCACTGAGCTACAGAGAACTCTGCGGTAATTTATATGATCTGGACGTGAAGTCGAACAATTCAGGTGTCCAGTACTGAACGCTGTACGTTGTTCTTTTTGAGCTTTAGTACTATACGACGAATTTATTTGACTACTCCTCTAGATTTTTTTTGTATCGTTGCATTGGTAGGCAAAGAATGGCCCAAGTGAACATTTATTACGAAAGTCTGGACACAGAAGTCACGGAGGAGAAACCTGCGTATGATTTCAATGCTTTTGGATGTGAGTACTGTTTTTGGTCAAGTTCTTACCTCTAAAATACCTCAGTTTATTTGGCGATAAAGTTTGGTGAAGGAATACGTTGGTAGCGTCTTCCTTACAGAGCTTACAGCAAGTGCACTAGGAGCGTTTATTGACTTGTATTACAATCCATTAAAGCACGACTTGCGCCGTGAATTGCCGGGGAATAATATCTGTATCACTGACCTTTATATAGTAGAAACTAAAAATTATGAGAAACATTCCATTTCTTAACGTACAGATGACCATATTAAAGATAGATCTAGCGAGGCCTAAAAGCGGAGCTCCGGATGGGAAATGCTTCATTAGTTTTCCTTCAGCCCGTGTTGTGCCAGCAGCTTGTCGCGCACACAAACACAAAACGCATAAACATCACGTAACAGCCAAATTTTAAGGGTTTGGTTCACAGACTGGCATATTTTCTTGGCCAGGGGCCTCCGCGGCTATAGAGGAGCGTAAGAATCGACTATAGAGGAGCGTAGAGGAACATTATTAAGTATTTTGGATGATTGTTGTTTTCTCTTTTCCTCTCTAGCGGACGTAGGAGGTAACATGGGATTATTTCTCGGCTGTAGTCTGTTGACTTTGTGTGAATTCGTTGATCTGATTGTGATCATGTGTCTTCGTTGCTGGCGGAAGAGGAACACCGTAGATCTCAAGGCGGATCCATATCAATAAAAAATTACTTGAGTATTCAAAACTGTAAATGTGAAGCAGGTAGTTAATATTCGCGCTTATGGAATGAAAAAAATGATCAGAATACGCAAACCCAAATCAGTTCAGCCTACTATGATTATGCTCTTTGAGTCTCTCTATACCGTCTGCGCGCTAAAAAAGGTTGTCCATGTGGGGCAATGTTGCTGTGCATCTGTTCAGAAATAGATTGCAGATGACGTCAAAATGTGCTAAGGACAAAAAAGGAGCACACAAAGCGCAGCCGAGTGTCTCACTTCTCTGATCTATGACTGAACAGACGCACAGCAACATGGAATCAATTTGTTTTATATTATAAAAAGGCAAAATGTTGTTTATGTCCCGTCCTCCAATAGATCATAGTAAGAGCCAATCAAAAGGTGTGCAATAGATCATAGTAAGAGCCAATCAAAACGTGTGCAATAGATCATAGTAAGAGCCAATCAAAASGTGTGCAAAAGTAGTTTCAAAGAGCCAATCAAAAGGTGTGCATGATTCAGTTTATTATATGAATATTGTAACTAGAGAAAGCCCCCTAACATTTAAAAATTCATTAATTTCTGCCAGCGTGACTGAAAATAGGGGTTGAATTTAGAAAAACTAGACTAAAAAGCTTGTGCTTTGCAGATCAGCTTATAAATATCTATAGTGGCTAAAATCTCTGGATTTATTTGAGAAATCAATTTTGATTCTATGTGGTGTGCTGGGTTCAGAAGTCGTTAAACTCATAGGGAATGGGAAGCCTTCATAATACAATCGTTTTCAACATTTTGGAGTTTCTTTTAAAATTAATAAAAACTGGAAAATAGAGAATAAGCGACTATAAACAGACTGATACATACTAAACGTTTCAGTTAGTAGGGTATTTCAAATCCGATTTCATGATTGGACTGTTGTTTAAATTTACCTTTTCTCTGCCAATCACGCATAATGTTGAAGGTTTGTCCGAGGTAACTTTAAACTCGCCCCAATATCAAAGTAGAAGACCGAACACATCGTTAAAAATAATTACGGTAAAAAAGATGATTGTTTTCGTGTTTTGGACCAAAAAAGTTAAAAGTACATGTTTTCACCTGCATAGCGTTTGATGAAATTCTATGCCTTGAGTTTAAAGTTAGTCACTCCGATTAATTCAGCGCTGTATCAAATAAAAATCCCGTTTATCACTTTGGATACCTCTTGTGTATCATGCGCTAAAGCAACCAAAACAACCCACGCCAACGATGGCTGAAGAGATGCACTATATGACTAACTTCCATATCAACCCAACACCACAGTGAAAAATCCAATTATTTGGAGTAACAGCAACCACAATAGTCAGAGGATTATAAAAGTAACTCTCAGCGCTAGTGCGCTAGTTTACATGTAATTCGAATAGCAAAGATTTTCTGCACTAATACTTATGAGTAAATAATGCATCAATCTTTCTTATCAATGTCTATAGTCAAATTACAAGCCAAATAATTCACGCAAGAAACTGAGATGATACCGGATTTGGTTATATACAGAGCACACGTTCGACCTAATAGTTTAAGCTAACCTAGAAGTACAACGACCCAAGGATGGGGGACAGCCAATTCCCAGCAGCAACCCACAGAGCAATATTCTTCAATTAAAAAGACAAAATATTTAAGAAACGGCTCAATCTTCACGTGACCTATAACTAACGCAACCATCCCACTTCTTATGCTCTCCCAATCATTTACGACAGTAAAACAACTCTTCTGCCTGCGAGCTTCAAAGAGGATATAGTCTAGGAACCCCCTTCCTTTCCCGACAATAACTAATTCAAAAAATGATACGGGCAATTGTTGTTACATACAATTTATTAATTGATGATTACGGCTGGCAAAAACAGTGGGAATACAACCTCTCATCTGCTGATTATTTCGCCAATCATTGTCTGTCTGAATATCTCCGGACATAATGCGATAACTCATCGAGTACATGAACTGTTTCCCTGATTCCAGAGCATAATCTTTCATGCCAGCAGTGATGATTACTTTGAAAAACCTTTCATATGTGTGTGGTTGGATGATAGGTAATGAAACTCAATTGCTTCCATTTTCCATAAATTACGATTATGGAAATGATCTCAAACCTGTAATAATTCACATGATTACTGAATTGACTGAAGGATTCGGTGGATAAATTTACCTCCCCCCCCCCCCCCGATAAAAAAAACCACATTCACGCAGATGGAATAAAACGAACGTGCGTAATAAGGTACTGAAAAGCGAATCATTTGAAACGGTTGCAAGTCAAGTTAGAGCAAGAGAGAGTCTATAAATGTAGATATTGTACAAGCCATGGAAACTGAAAATGATAACGAAAAAAATAATCAAGTTTTGAGATTATAACAAATTTGATGATAGTAAAACATGGACATTTGATAATTTGATTGAGAAAAAGCATAACATATGTGATAAAGCCTTTCACTTGATATCTCATCTTGATTCGAACAGCGCGGGGGTTATCATATTGGCTGGTTACAAGCATGTTCAGATGGTTACAGGACTGGTGCAAACCAATGTCAGAGAGATAGACGAAGAGTACTTTTAAGTTCCTTGCTGTGATAAGTGTGTTGGCTCCTTGACTAAGCAAGATCGATCGTTTGCTGTTACTGCACTTTCAGCAAACATACTTGGAGATGAGCCAATGACTTCTTTTTTATCTTTGACAATCTCTTGAGAATGTACACCGTTACCAGCGTGACCAATCAAAGGTCTTGCAGTGTCGTGTGACACTGGATTCTCACGCAAGGTTCCACCATTTTTATGAACCAAATGTGTGCCACTGTCACGCTCTTTGCCATTTACATGATGTAAACCTTCTGGAGACTCGACGTGTGAACTGTTGCTTGACAATAAAACAGCATTGGCAGTGAGGTTGCTTGCACTTTTAGCCACTTCATTTAAAAGTAATTCTGTTTCGTCAGGGTGTTGTTGTGTTACCACATTTCCTGTGTTGCTGTCTCCAGTGTTACTGCAGCTTGGTTTCTTTTGTTGTTTTTCGAGTTCTCTACATGGAAGATGTTTTGTCAGGCAAATTCTCTGGTTAAATGTTTTGTTGCAAGTGTCACATTTGTAAGGTTTTTCGTCGGAATGAATATAGCTGTGCTCTTGTAAATGGTGCTTTCGTTTGAACGCTTTACCGCATACCTAAAACAAACGATTCCCTCCATTTGTTATCAATATAACAATTGTAATAAAACCCCTTAGGATTAAAAAATCATCATTAGGTCGGTTCGGAGAAAAAAAATTAGCAAATTGTACAAGTAATAGGAAAAAACCGTTCTGCTTTCTCAGCAGGCAGTTGAGACACCAAGTTGATTATTATTTAAAGTGAACAGATATAGTATATTGACGCAGCGAATTCTGAAAAGCGGACTCTCGAGTTTTCAGCCTTCGGTCAGACTTCAGTGTTGCGGTTGAACGTGTTCATATATTAGGGTAATAATACAGCTTTGCTATTCGTGCAAGAAGAGTAACGGATAATACATGAACAAACCAACTATTGATTGTTGATTCCTTGAGAGGTAGGATGCCGATGTCAAAGATCAATTTTTGTTCTGAAGTTTTACAACTTTCAGAGTTGGCTTGCTGGTTAGAAGCTCCCGCACAACTTTGTTTGGTTTGCAGTCTTGTCAAAGTGATAAGCAGGTTTTAAAATCTGCAGTTGTTATTTCATCTCTCTGTGGCACTATCGAAATTACCAATGAACAGTATTCTGGTGTGTCACGTGGTAACCCCATTCCACACAATAACCCCACCATCACCCAAATAAAAGTTAATAATTGGTAAAAGACAAACAGAGCTTGACTGTGTCATGAAACAGGAACATCAAAATTGAGGTTAGGAAAGAGGCACTCAGGAAGTAAATATTACTTTAGTCTGCAGAAAGTCTAGCATGCTCTGCAGACAACAAACTTGGCAGTCAGATGACTTGGTTGTGTCTGAAAGTTGACATCAGTTTTGAACAATTTGGGTCTTTATTTCTAAGATCAATGAGAGGATAGAAATTGTTGGTAAAGCAGTGGTTGACCTGAATGTTATGGAGGAATTCACCAATCTGACCTCACAGTTTTCATCATTACATGAACAAGCATAACCAGTCATAAAGCTAATTTCAGGTTGTACCATAATCTTATCCAAATAGAGGACATGTGTTACCTGACATGCATAAGGCCTGTCACTTGCAGTGCTGCTCTTCTTTGTGGACACCTGGTTAGACAGAGCTGGAGGTATCTTCTGTGGTGCATTCTGGGAATGTTGTCTTGTGACATGTTGCTTTAAGCCACTACTTTTTCTGAATGATGATTCACACTGAGAGCATTTAAAAGGTTTCTCATCTGAAATTTTACAAGACAAGAAATTTTCACTCTTATGCACAGCTGGTGCTACAAACTAAATATGTTGTGAGACTCACAAAAAAAAGCATGCGCAGAGGCTTAATGATGCTGATGTCACAGAGTTCTGTAACTGACAGCTGAAAATAAATGTTAGCTGATGTAAGCATGTAATATTACAGCTCAATATATCACTAAGCCTTGCCACATGTCACAGCAATATATTTTGTGTGAAATTCTTCTTTCTTGCCTCAAAATTTGTCTCTGCACAAAGTCACATAAATCAGGCTTGTGGTCATAGTAATGGCAGAAGTCATAACAATTTGTGCATTGGAGGCTGCCCACACGAGGCAGTTTGTTGGAAACAATTGCGGCAACTTTTTTTTTAATGTTCATTGTGAACTTTAAGGTTGTTTGGAGTCAGTATTCAAAGTTATTGGAAACTGTGCATCAGAAGTCAATCTGAGGAAAGTGGCCGATGGGATTACCCAGATCTTACCAATTGTTTTGTTGTCACTTTGTGGAACATCTGTGGCACCTTCTTTAGAGATGTTTATTTTATCATCTACAAACCAAATCAATTCCAAAGACATAAGATGAGGTAAACCAATGATTTAAAAGAATGATTGACAACTCTTTTTGAGGTTAGCAGTTACCATAGCATAAGGCATTGATTTATAGGAATTGCAGATACACTAACCACCTTGGACTACAGCATACATGAAAGATATTTACAAGTAGTTAGCCCAGCATTTTAAAGCCAGTCACAGTGTCCTCATGCTTTGAAATACATTCTTTTTTTTTTTACCTAAAAGCAGGGGGGGTGCTGCAAGGAAGAATCATGACCTCTATCTCAGAGTGGGAATGTACAATTTTGAACAAATACATGCAATCATAAGGATATTTAACAATTATTCTACAAGCGTGTGTTGAACATCAGATGATAGATAGCCAACAAGGTGCGTAGTGCCAAGTTGGCTATAATCATCTCATATTCAACAAGCGTAATTGAAAATATTGTCTTACTAAAAAAACGCCCCAAGATATTAGAAAAATCTTCTCTACTTTCTTTTATAAGAAGAAACCAGATGTTACAATGTACAGATATTAGATTATGGTATATCGGCTCGTATATCATAATGGCTAAGCCAATAAAAAGTCTTGAATTGCATTATCCAATGATCCAGTTTTTAATAAATATATAGTATCCTTGTATTCCCTCCAATACACCAAATCATCATCACCATTCCTTTGCATTTTTTTTTTAACAAAAACGATAAATAAATTTACAGCATCAAACCACTGGGCTCCTGGCTCCAAGATAGTTTCAATATTAGTTGCAAAGCTTTTCCACAGCCTTGACCATACTCTTGCCACTCATCAGAACTTCATTGAGTATTGATATAATTAAGACTCTGGTTATGAATTTTTATGTTACTGATGGGAATCAGGCCTATGTGAATTGGTTCAAAGATAAAGTGACTAATTAATGCTGTTCCCACTCACCTAAATGATGTACGGCCTTCATATGATTGATCAGCTGATCTTTTTCCACAAACATTACAGCACACAGACGACATTGACGCAGTCCCACTAAATTACCAACTTGAATCAACGGTGATCCATTAACGTAATCCTCCATACTCTGAAAATTTTTCTCTTCTTTCCGCTTTCTCTTTCTTGTAACAGTCTTGATGACTTCTTCATGAGCTGAATTGTTGTTGGACTGTACAGGTATTTTTTGCCCCGATAGTCTAATATGATCAGGGTCAACCCACTCTTCTTCTTCATAAACCACCTTCTTAGATTTTAAATTTCTTATGCGTGCACTGGTTCTCTCACGTGGTGGTGTACAACTCTTAAAGGTATTCCCTTCATGCTGCTCAGATTCTGTAGTACTATTTTTTGGCTTAGAGTCATTACTTTGTTCATTTATGTCCTTATCTAATGTATAGTTGCCAGTTCCATTCAAAGTGGTTTTGACACTTTCTTGTTTTTCTCTGTGGAAAAAAAGAAAAAAAAATATTTCACTTGTACAACGGGGGTTGGGGAAAGTCTTATAGATTAGCAGAAGCTGAGTTTATTGTATTTATATTGAAGTAACTGTACAGGCATGTGGTCTGATCAAGCGTTGAAATACAGCCATATGGTTGATACACAACTCTCAAGATTGTTTATCACAGTTAGGAAGGAAAATATTGAAACTCCCAAGACTTAGTTGAGTGACCAAGGCTTCTTTCCTCATAGACCTACAAACAGGTGGCACTAGGCAAGGAAGGGCTTATCAAAGAATGGTGTTTTCAGCAAACAAAAATATCATTAATTTTGCATGTACATCTCCAAAATCTAATGAAAAACCTTACCTCTTGTTTATAGTATCTTTTTTAAGGGGATCAAAGTCTTTAACATCCTACAAGACAATCAAAAGCAAAAATTTGAGAGCTGTTTAATACAAATTGCTAGCATGTCATCACTCTAGAGGGGATTTGAAAACATGTATAGAAATTGAAACTTTAGAGCATCAAATTTTCATAGAGAACTTGTGCACAATGTATACTTGTCCTCTAGTAAACTCTTCTAACAAAGAGTAAACTTTTCATTGCCTGATTGAGAAGAACAGACATTTAGCAGATACTTAAAGTGAACCTGACCCCTAAGTTTTTTTTTCACTAAAAAAATCCTACTGATTTGGTGAGTATTTCTTGGAAAAAATTGTTGGATTTGGCTAAACCCTCATTTTTTTATGCCTTGGTGAAGTCAAGATTCGAATGGACCACAACCGCGTAAATGGGGATTGGGGCAGAGTAGACTTGTGACGTCACTTCGATAAGACGCTCAAGGAATTCTCAGCCAGTCGTTGACCTGCAAAAGCCTTTGTAGCACTAGATTCATTCAGCAGCATATTTGCGACCAATATCGATCTTACCTCCCAAACATAACCAGTGAACTGTGCCAAATGGCGCGAAATACAGATTTTTGGGTTCTCGAAGTGACGTCACATCACTCGCCAGACTCTTGATACTTGAAACGCAGTCGTGAGTCAAAATGGCAGTGATTTTAATGCAATTTTCCATACCTCAATGGGGCACAAAAATTCAAGGATTTGACCAAATCCAAAAATTTTTTCCAAGAGATACTCACCAAAGCATGAAGATTTTTTTAAACAAAAAAAAATTTAGGGGTTAGGTGCACTTTAAGTAATTCTTTTACTTGTACTAACGGTACACTCACCATTTCTTGTGGATATTTTATGTCACAGTGTTCAGACAATTTCTGGATAATATTTTGAAGTTTAAGCCTAGAAACAGAAGCAGAAGGTCAATTTAAATTCTTGGTATAGAATTAGAGAAAACCCTCATCTCTATGATTGTTTTTTTTATAACTTTAAGCAAGGAAAGTTTGGTTTACAATTCATGGATGGATGTCTTTGAATCATGTAAAGTGAGATCCGCTCCAGGTTATCTCTACATCAAGCGTACACCCTCTGCAGTGCCAAAGCTTTCTTTTCATATTTACTTTTAGGGTACAAATACACACACACCAAAATAAAGCATATGATCTCCCTCACCTTTCATTGACTGAAACATTAGAACAAGCCATTTTATTACAGAGGGGTCTATGTTATTACAGAGGAGCTTAACTGTTCAATATTCTCTTCACCAGTCAAAATAATAGCTGCCAATGAAAGGAATGCTTTTAAGAAAATGAGAGTATGACATTAACGCTGCTGTTGATGAAAAATAGGAGTTTTGTTTTTTGGCATTACTTCACTGTTGTGGTCTTGAAATGGTATGTTGTTAAATTTCCCTTTGCCATTAAAAAAAAAAAAAAAAAAAAAAAAAAAAAGAAAGAGGCCAGAATGCAAAATCAAGGTCTATATCCTGCGGTTTTTTTTTTTTAAAGAGGGCTTTGGTACAATTGTAAGAATTGATAAAGAAAAAAAAAACAGTCGTCGCGTATTACGACAGTCCTTGAGTTTATTTTAAAAGGGCAGCTCTCGTTTTTAACAATTCTGAACAATTCCTAAAATCAGCCAAAGCAGCCTTCAACAACAGAATGAAATAAACCTAGTGACATTTAAATATCACGTGAATAATACAGCTTACTGCCTTGTCAGAAGGTTAACTCGATCATTTTGAATGACGCTATTGACCATTTACTACGAACTGGCGAATTTGAGATGTTATTGAGTAACTCTTATGCAAACTAGGGTTTACAACCAAAAACCAGCTTGTGACAATTCTTGTATACAAAAAGTATACAGTATTGCTTAACTTCACACATGCAAACTTCATGTGTGTGCTAAAATGCGTGAGCATTAAATATAAAACAGACGAGACTCTCTACGACCTTACGAGAGATTAACTTACCCTCGATGATCAGTGGAACTTTGATGTGTTTCTTCCATTCTACTGTACGTACGATAAGTTATAAACAACAAAAACCTCGATTTTGTTACAAAAACATTGGGTACGTTCACTTCGCAGACTCACTTGGCAAACCCCTCTTTTCACAAATACTGTCCCAGACTTCATAGCGAGTCCAGGAACATTGCCCGGCCCAGTCTTTTTTTCTTCTCACTCACCCCATTTCTTCAAATGTGCCGACAAAGTCCTTTATACACTGGACTAGGCTATGATTAGGGAAAAGAGGAAAAGAATAACAGAAAATGCCGTACTCACCCTCTCAGGATAAACCGAGATTTCGAAAATTTTAAGTGAATTTATCAGAAAATTGCCTACTTTCTTTGACCTGCGAGCGAGCAAGTTCCCATCGGTACGGTGGCTCTCAAGGGCCATCCACCTACAAAAATTTTCATGACTTTATCGCGCGATAAGTTTTGCTAAGTCCATTCATTCAAAAAAATTGCAATCAACATTATCGCGTGATAGATAAACTTATCACGCGATAGAACAACTTATCGCGCGATAGAACAACTTATCGCGCGATAGAACAACTTATCGCGCGATAGAACAACTTATCACGCGATAGAACA